TTGTAACAACGCTTTAGTTGGCTTGACTGTTACGTTAAACGTGTTTTTTTACGGCCACTGTTAATTTCAGCGGACAATGGGTGGGGCCATCGACGATCGAGTCCGAACAATCGGCCGGGCGTGAGCGCGCTTAATTGCTCTTTGCCGACGAGTAATTTCCATTCCAACACCTTAAATAAACACTAGTTATTTTAACAACCTTCGACGTCAAACAGCTTTATTGTACTACAGAATCGCTGGGCGAATCGAAATTTCACCTCGGTAAAATACACGTGCATATTGATGGCATACAGATAGTCAAATATAATATGTATCAGTAACAAACGTACCACAATTCAATCTCAATGAGCTTCGTCGAAGTAGTGACCCATAGTTAACCTGAAGTTAATTTAACAGTCCACCGCTTGGGTGGTAACCAGCGACGATATTGTCTCGAAACATAACGGCTGATTTTACGATCAAATCGGCCAAGTTGGTGCTTAATGTAAAACCAGTTTAAATACACTCGTAAATCTCTTGAACGCGTGCCCACGCTGCGGATGACGTTCTGTCTCATGCAACTCCAATTCTTTTCATTCCAATATCGTTCATTTATAGTGCCGACTTATACCATATCCAAAACGTACCAAAGGTTAATCCTTTCCAAAATCCTCATCCAAGATAAGACGTGGATTGTAATTCTAAAACAAGGCAGTTAAATTAATTGTTAATCACAATTGTTATTATAAATAAATAAATTGTTATTTTATAGCCTGACAAAGCGTTCCAATGAATTGTTAGTTGATTAAATTTGTAGATGGTACATTCCCATGGTCCGACTACGCGGAAATAATAGCGCAAATGAATGTGAATGGCATTACGGCTGGAGATCACGTCGGCCCATAAATCCCAACCCCCGATAGAACAATTAAAAGACGAGTTTAAAACAATTACGCAATGGTTGCCCCCGGGCTTGCTCGTGATGCCATAGAACAAAGATCAATAAAACTGTTGGAATATTAATTAAAATTATGTATCTATAAGTTACAACACGAGCTACAAAGACAAAGAAAGGTTGTCGTTCCAAATCACTTTAGCTCTTGTTTTTTTAGTAATTTATTTGGACAATTTAGTTCTACTGTCCCTTAACTAAATAAAGGTGAACTTATTTCGACAGAGATTTATTTTCTTAAAAGCTGAAATAATATGTAATCACAATGGAGATAGGTACTAAACCCAAGTTCTATACCTATCAAGAATGTATTACACTTTCAGATTTGTCTATTATTTTTCGATTCTGCGTGCTAATCTTTGAGCACGTGAACATATAAATCTGCTAAAATATATGCGTATCTGATAGAATGCTTTATTGTTTAGTAGCTTTGTCGAGTGTTAATCGAAATCAATTGTTTCGCTGCAATAAGTCATGCATAGGATTTTAATTGAGAGTATCGCTCTTATGAATCTGAGCCTTGGGCTATTACTATAGTTTATTCACTACCCAATATCTGTTTGCTGTGGGTCCAAACATAAATTCTATTGGTTACTGTGGTAAAAACTATTGAGTGAAACAAAGTTACAATTTCCACGATTTTTATAGACACTTTGGCTCTATGCTTATCTTTTGGACATATTTTTGAAGATTTTCATTTTAGACTTGGATTCTACTGTACATACCTAGGACCATCACTAAATATTATCAAATACATACCTACATACTGATTTACTTTTTATGAACACATACTCTGCGCTTGGTATAATCAATATTGTACGTCGTATATCCTGAAGGCGGTAGCTCATGCGTCCCGCTTGCAGTACGTCCGAACGATCTGCATCCCGCCTGATCCCATTTTAATGGAGCGCCCGGCAAACAAGCTTCCGAGCCGCTTACTGGCAAATCCACCGGGATCCCATGCGCCACTTAGCTCGAAAAAGTACAGTGTTATATACTCGTCCCAACACAGCCTGAATGTTCGCCATCATGATATGAAATTATTTATTTTAATACCCTCACTTAATACGTTGAATGATTTCCCAGACCACATAAATTACATTCTTGTATACCTACCTCAATAATAGTTATTTATACATTAAACCTGCGGTAAATATGGAAATTTTATCTACTGCAGATGTCGCGACAAATTGTATGATTGAGCTTTCAAAGACATCTATTCACCATTCCATTCATCTATCGGAGAATTGATGTGTAGAAGTCAAACAAAACGTCACCGGCCGAAGCGGTTGCTTTTAAATGGCCGCTGCCCTGCCATTTATTCGCACATTTAAATGGGAATTAATCTGGCATTGTGCGAGCAGAGCGCGTTCAGCGTTAATATTTCGCTTCGTATTGACAATATGCTCACACTAAGGGCTTTGATTCATTAGCTGGAGGCGAACGACCGCTGGATAAAGGAGCTGGATCCTTCCATTCGTTCCATGGATGCGCCTCCGCTGACCTGTGCGCTAACGAGTCAGTCGAGTATAATGATCGCATTGAAGGCTATGACTGGCCAAATGACAAGTGTGAAACACAACGAGAATAAAATAAAGCAAAATTTTCATCTGACCTGTTGACCATTCTACGAAAATTTGTAACCCACATAGCCAGTTTGAAATAAATAAGACATGGGCTCGACCTCGATAACTCGATGGATTGAATAAATCATCCGCGATTTGTCTTCCTCAACAGGTAGATTTTTAAAATCAGGTAATTGTTATTCATGCAAATCTAACTTACACGAGCAGAAAATGAATCCTAAGCATAGACTCTCATAAATAATATAATCGAATGAGTACCTACCTCTTGTTTGTGAAATAACAAAGAGATAATAACAAGGAAGTACCAACCATATTTTAAATTTTAAATTCGTGTCATTTTAATTTATCTAAACACAAAGCAAACAATACCTAAGGATTAGGATGTTCAGGAAAGTGCATGTTTAGTTATTCAATTTCAGTTCTATAAATTCTTAACCAATACTAAACACATTTCTTCTCAAACGATTGTTCCACCATTTACGAGGCGAGAGGCAGACTATAATTTTCTATCATTTTCGAAACAGCACGCAAATTATGCGTAATTTTGATACAAGACCCAATGTTGTCTATTAATAATTTAAACTGAATGCCATAAGAGATTACAGAATATATTTTTTTAATCGTTGGTGATTCTTCAGGCTTCAAATATTCAAAAAATTTCCACGTTTTGTATTCTGTCTGGAGAATTTACCTCGTCGAATGCCGTAGTTCCGATGCAGGCTATTTTAAATGTAAAGACGGAGCATTGCATAATCACCAACGTGATTCGCTATCAGTATTCGGTACTAAATATTTATTCCCATCGGTTTTTACGATACTTTTGGCCGTTCGTCGTAAAAATGTTTTAGATGGTTTTGCTATCATTTTACTTTTCCTAAACCGTATGTATGGCTACCAAATCAAGATAAAAAGTGACAGTTGGAATTCAATCGGTTTGCAGCATACTTGTCGTAATATATACCTAAATATTGCGGTTGACTACTCTGTTTACACAATTTTAAAACTATTGCACTTCAAATGTTCCTTCGATGCACCTGTTATACCAATGTTTAAAATATCCTTGTTGTTTTTGTTGTTTTTTACGTAAAACAACTTTAGAAATACTAGTAGCCGAACGAAAAAACGATGTCTAATCGGATGAATAATAGTATAAAACATTGATTGTATTACACAAAGTAAAGGCGGCCATCATTTATCGCCGCTCCGAGTCGAACTCACTATAAAATTGAATACGAGCTCCCGGCCTGACGTTTCGATTTGCCGTGACGATTGTTTCAACTACCGGTTTTAGACAATTTGGAGTTCCGTGTGTTGCCTTCTGAAGCTGTGTTCTGTCACTTAACTCCACATTTGTCACTCTTCTTAACTGACGTTTACTCCTGTCTTTTTGACAATTATTTACGTCGGCTTTATACTTCAAGACTTCACAAGTTTATGAAACGTATGTTTCTTTGTACTTTTTTTGAATCGCAGCAAAATAACCCGTAATTTAGAATTCCAATTAGGCAAAAACCCTGATATTATTAATTGCTATCGTACATTAATTATACGGGCCTTAATTACACGCAGTAATTAAACACTACGGAGAACCCTGTTGTTTAATATGCAGCCAGTACCACCTTCCCAATTTTTTATACGGCCGCCGTTCGATTTTAATACAAAGACAGATCTGGCATTAATTAAGTTGGGCTGATGAGTTCGCATCGTCTGTCTCGCTCGTCGCTCGGCATCATTACGGCTACATGTAGAAGCGAGAAGTTTTTTAATTCGTCATTATTCTGTGGCGTAAAGAAATGTTAATTCGAGGCAGCGTGAAATTAACAGCCGCCGCGTTGCCCTTTGTAGGGCCGCTGCGGCTGACTTAAACACACAACGGGTGACGAGATGCACGCTCCTTTCATACTACACTCTCTTATTTGCACTCGATTACTCTTTTTTGTATGCTTTCATTAAGAAGTGCTGCAATGGGTTGTTAAACATCAATTTGTATAATGGTCGTGAGGAAGAAATTGCGATTTGCCTTTAATCATGTCATTACTAATATGTAACGCTGTAGACGCAGCATGTCTTACTTATGACGTCTCATCTAGATCTGAATTGTGTGCTTTATATTAAAACCAAGCTACTTTTTTGTTAGAAATGTAATCAATTACTGATATCATTTGATAATATAGTAAAACTGATGCTGACTGCCATGGCAATATTTAACAACGCTATCTGATCTGACTACGACAGACTCATCAAACGAAACTCAATTACCCACCCCACGCTCCAATATCCTCATATTAGAGGTATAATTATCAAATTACTGCGGGATTTTCGTACAATTTCCAACAGTTACGTGAGTAATTAACTGTGGAGTAACGAACGGAAGAGAATAATCAAAATTTATTAGTCTTATAAAGAGTATTCCTTCGCAAAATGGCTTTGAACCTGGTTTTTTTTTTCAAAACAAAGGTACTTAAGTCAGTATCTTGTTGCAGTGGTACCGTGTGAACAAGGATCGACTGTGTCCCGAGCTGATCAAGAAGTTCGTACAATTGTACCCTGATGAAGAAACCAAGGAGTTTCTGTCGGCCTCCATAGATAAGTCCTCGTGGGTGTGGACGCAGATCTGGTACCTGCTTGCCAAAGCTGTACTAAGACACTTCTGGTCCGTCACTGATATTAATGGGTAAGTCAATTTTTTTTATATATCAAATAAAGTATGTATAGATGAGCACCCGTTGTCAACCTTGGGGAACATTTCTAAACCTGAGTCTAGTACGACAAGGTGAATTTCGAAACGGAAAATGTTGATAATCTTTATCCGGACCTAAAATGTAGCGCCAGACTTCGTACTTACAGGAACTTGATTAACTCAGTTATCAAGTTTGTAAAGTATATGCATTATTTTTTTCGTCTAAGTGTTATAGAAATGTAGATACTTATCTAGGTAGAAGTCGAAAAAGTGTTGTGCCGAGGAACTGCAACATTGAGGTAAGATTGTCTTTAATTATTTTCACCATATTTCGGTAATAACTTACTAAACTTAGAAAACCTTCATGGGTTGCTATTGAGTCTTCAGAGCATGTACGTAGATACCAAATTTTTGGTTCTTTTGTTATACATTTGGTTACATATAAAATCGATGAATTCTTCTAAACCACTTTAGCTTCAATAATGTCCTTCAATCCAACTTTAATTCCTTTCATCATTACTCTCAGCTTCCAGCTGGAGGATCGCTCTGCTCCCAGTTAGTACGTCAAACTTTTTAATTTAAAAGTAATGAATCATATCTTTTACAAACGATGAATTGCCATTTGAATGACGACAATGGGACATTATTAAGTGCGTCCAGATTCGACCAATTACGCCAATTACAATCTCCCGGTACATACATACGTAGATGTGGGTGTATGTGTTATTTCCTCATCCATTGTGTTGTGTCTGTACAAATTAACTAATTCGGGATGTGATTTGGTCTTTTGTTGCTGTTTAGCTGATGGCTCTGTGGTACAGTGATCTAGTTGAAATAATAAAGTAGATGAGTATAAAATTACTGGTTGTTATATCTATACCGTTTTTATAAAACTAAGTTTTATGACATGTAGATTGTCAAATTGGTACCGAAAATACGGCAAAGCTCACAATTTCTGGTTGGTACTTTTTTGAAAAAGATAGCAATTACCTACAGAATGTACTGTTGGTGGCCGAATGGAATGTTTCAACACGTTCTGTACAGCGTCAGTACATCTGTGGATATCGATAACAGTATCCATCCGCCATAATTGCATCAGCAGGGGCGTCCGTCCGCCGATCGTTGGGTGTCTATAGCGGACCACTAATAAATAATTTAAATAAATTGACGGACGAGATTTACTCATTGGTGGCTTCCGTCTCTCAATTACTCTTTATTTATCACTTACTACGCGTCGACCGCCACAAGTATTAGGCGAACGATTGAACTATTTAGACGCATTTGTTTTCATTTTGGGAAAGGAAGTTTCAATACATTTGATTGAATATTCATCTAAAAATCCAAACAGTATACATTACTGCTTGAGTTTAACCATCCCATGTTAATATGTAATGGATCTTTTTAAATGTTCATCAATGATCTTTATAACAGTGATGTGTCAAAATGTGTCTTATTTCCTCTACTCCATGATTCAAATGGTATTTCCCAATCTTACCTGATTCAGCTGGATAATAAATAGTATGTTTGTATGTATTATACCTTCGTAATTATAGTATGACTGCCTCGTTGGCCGACTGGTCGTAAGTGCGACTGCCGGGCAATGGGTCTCGGGTTCAATTCCCTGGCCGGGCTAAGTATTACTGGGTTTTTAAATATTCTCAGTAGTAGGACGGAGTCTGGAATTGCGCCCGGTATATGGCAATAGGCTATATGGGACTCATAACATAAATAGTGAAAAGTGGGTGTTACATTGTACAGTGGTATTTATGTGCACCTCTGCCTACCCCTTGGGAGATAAAAGGCGTGATGTTATGTTATGTCATTATAATATTGACTGAGTTTCAGTTTAGTTATACGTATGACTTAGATGAAACATGCTTAGGTCTCAAAATGATACATATAATTAATTAGTCATTATCCATTGGGTTTTATGAATTTTGTCTTGATTCACTTTGTCTTTATTTATACGGCATTACAGCACTCGCTAATCGCCAAAAGAGGATGCAGATCGGTACCTATAGCACTAAAGTTGTCTAGTCAATGTCTAGACTCCTAGCTGTCTCTGAGAGTTTCGATACAAAGAAAATCAATTACATGTTTGCCAAACCTGAGACCTCTCTATAATGACAAGAGATGTAAAGAATCTCTCCTGACATGTAAACAGGTGCCAAAAACCTTTAAAACTAATATCGTCATAGTAGATTCATTTCAAAATTAATATTGATTTTTCAATGCTCTGTTCAATTTTATCAGAGGTATAACTTTGAATATTTGACAAATTGTTCCATACTAAAAACTATCAAATGTACATTTTATTCTACAGTTAGAATTACCTGTTTATTGAAAAATCGATCCTTGAGAAGACTTTGAATGATTTTCCGTCCTCAAAAAAACAATTCTTTTTTCTAGTAGCTTAAAATCCCTTGTTACTATTTAAATAGGCTCAGCTATATTTCATTTTAGAATAGCAATATTTTGTGAAAGTTCCGTATCGCAATGGTTCCCCCTTACACTTTGTATCCGGGATATTAATCATAGTGCTATTAGTCAGGATGGAGGACCCACCGCCCCATACACTTTTCTGTCCTAAATGAATCTATTTTCAATGAATTTCAATTAGTTTACATTATGCATGTCCTGTCCTTGAAACCGTTCATTTGGTTTGATTGGAAAGCATTGCTGAGGTTTGTAAGTTTTGATACTGATAAACCCACTTTATTTAGGACTCTGAAATTATGTCCAATTACTCCAATATGTGGTGGTTTCATTATGATGGCATCTTAAATGTGATGAATATCTTCCTTCCTACTTAGTGCCATTTAACATTTTATTTTAAAAAGTTATTAATTTTCTAAATAACCAAAGTAAATCGTACTTTCATCTGTTTTACCTTTTACCAACAGATATTATTGAAGAACTTATGATATTGAATATCAAACCTCAATAGTTAAAAGTTCCTCCCTAGTTTAAACTTCTGGTTTACATCGCAGTTCTTATAAAGAACAGAAATACAAGAAGAGCAAAGCCTTATCATTTCTCAACTATCTTATTACTACTTTTAGCTAAAGTTCTCGAACCCCAAGACTATAGAAACTACAGGAATGCATTTGAGAAATTCCTTCTAAAGGAATTACTTTGAATTTATACTTTATTCTAGTTTTAACTAGAATTCAGGTCGTGTGACGTCCATACTCATCATCATTTTGTAATTATTATGATGCAAGTATTCTCAACATAATTTGCTCTAACATATCGGTAGTTTTGATACACCTAGTTATCTGTATAACTCACTAATCTGTTATTGTCTAAAGGTATTTTACATAGAATTATTGATAATTTTGAAATCGAAAATCATTCTTTGCCCTTCTTCTGTCAATGACTTTCTTGTTTATCAAATGACAACAACAAACTCTATACTCGCAGTCGATTACAATCAATCAAATACTCTGCGCACTTAATTCAAGAAACATTTACCTTTCACCTCTCAACAAATGCTTGTCCAATATAATTATTGGGTACAAAGAATTAAAGTCGAACAAACGCATTTCAATCAGCAAGCAGACGAGCTCATTGACACCGGACAATAAATTTGGCAAATCAATTGGCAAACGGTAATATTTGGACTCAGTCGTATATTAAAGACGTCTATGCTAATGTACGGATGAATTAAACGCATTGGTGTTTATTAAGGCGAATTTGCGTCACTAGAGAGTACAAAGTACTTTTCCATTCTGTGGTTTGGGACTCCTAAATAGTTTTGCAAAATTTGCCGTCATTCGTGTCGTCCTTGAAACGAAACGCTATGTTCCTCACGTGCGTTGAATAACTACTAGCTAATACACTCTATTCCACTTATTTTTAAATCATGACATCAGTATTCATTACTAGACGTAAGCCATGTCCCGTAAGCTGAAATATCCTTTACTACTTGGATGTTGCGTTCAGTTCCAAGAGGTCGCCTCTTGAAAAAAGGCAGCGGCTATTCCTTGTACAAGATGGTTTCTAGTTCATATTATTCAACTAAGTGTGTTTTTTTTGTGTTTTTATTTTAGCTTTTTGCTTTATTTTAGTCTTGCGAAAAAGTACAAGATTTTCAAATTACATAACTCGCTACAGATTTAGTATTAGGTACTACTATCCAATTTACATATACACGTTAGTAAACCTCATTATATCTATCAACAATGGATCTTAATTAAAAACTATTATGCTTAGGAAAAATATGAGATCAAAGTTATAGTCTGAGATTCACCAAAAAAAGTTATAGAACTCGTTAAATATGGCATTTGGCTTACCATAATTTCCTTATAAACCTAAGCGACTTTGATAAATGATGTGGCATTAGATTTGTGTCAACTGAAGACGTCAATAGACGCTGTAATACTCAAGTATTCAGAATGAGGTCACAAGTCCCCTAGACTAGCATATTTACATCAAACTTCGTTATTTTCACGTTTGGGAATACAAAATGTGTCATGTGGCTGTCTACAAAATCACAGATGTTTCATCTTAAGTAAGTACATACTATACAGCCTTATGAAACTCCATAATTCTCTTCTATATTATTTTAATTTACAATAATTAACCCTTATCTTACACCAAGCTCCCAAACCACGTATCTGATATAATTATACGCACAAGAAAATTCCACGAAACATATTTGCACAATAATTATTTGTGAATTAACGCGATAAACTAAAAGAATCACCACAATATGCAAATTTTTACCGTAAAGGCTTAATATAAAACATTAAAATGATTGTTATTACACACGTTAATTATCTCGACCTTTTTAAATCGTTCGAGATAATAATACGAAAATGCCATATAATTATTTTTCGGACACCATTAAATATTATTAAGTTTTTTGACATTTCTTCTTAATTGCTTGTTTTTAAAAACCGTAATGAGATTCCTTATACAATCTCATATTTTACGTAGCAGGTAAATTGATTCGATGGTATTACTTATTAAGTTTGTTTGTAAGATTCCAC